TAATTCCCCCCTTTCCCCCCCCCCACCTCAGGGGACCCCCACAATGACCCCAACGCTCAAGGAGACGCCTTCAAAACCCTCTTTGTGGCCAGAGTGGTGAGTGCTGGGGCTGGGGGGCGGGCGGGTAGGACAAGGGGGTCCCACCTTGGGAATCTCCCCCCAATCCTTGGGGGTCCCCCAATCCACGCAACACCCCCCCTCACCCCCAGTTTGGGGGGCGGACACACACACGTTTCTTCACCCCGGCAGAACTACGACACGACAGAGTCGAAGCTGCGACGCGAATTCGAGGTTTACGGCCCCATCAAGCGGGTGAGGGGGGGGGTTCCCCCCCCCCCGACACCCCCCCCAAACAATTCCTGTTAGCGGGGTGACGCCCGACGCTTGTTGCTACACCCTTTTTTAGATCTATATGGTCTACAACAAGCGCTCTGGGAAACCCCGCGGCTACGCCTTCATCGAGTACGAGCACGAGCGGGATATGCACTGTGAGTACCCCCCGCCGCAACACCCTTTTCCCCCCTACAACCGCATGTCCAACCTCTTAACCGCAACCGTGCGTTCCCTGGGTCCCTCCGGGGCCCCGCGCTCCGCAGGTAAGTACAACCGGGGGGAGGACGTACAGGCGGCCGAGGCTACGGGCGGCTGAGGTTATAGGTGGCTGAGCTATAGGCAACCAAAGCTACCAATGGCCAAGGCTACAGGCGACCAAACTGTAGGCAACCAAGGCTTACCGGCGGCCAAGGCTATAGGTGGCTAGGGGTACAGGCGTCCGAGCTACAGGCAGCCGAGGCTACCGGCAGCCGAGGCTATAGGCGGCTAAGCTGTAGGTGGCCAGGGCTACAGGCGTCCAAGCTGTAGGCAGGCAAGGCTGTAGGCGGCTAAGCTGTAGGCGGCCGGGGCTACAAGCAGCCAAGCTAGAGGTGGCCAAGGCTACCAGCAGCGAGGCTGTAGGCGGCCAGGGCTACAGGCGACTGGGGCTACAGGTGGCCAAGGCTACTGGTGGCTAAGCTGTAGGCAACTGAGGCTACAGGTGGCCGAGCTATAGGTAAGCAAGGCTACAGGTAGCCGATGGTACAGGCGGCCAAGCTATAGGTAACTAAGGCTGCAGGTGGCCAAGCTGTAGGCAACCAAGGCTACGGGCGGTTGACCAAGCTACAGGTGGTTGACCAAGCTGCAGGTGTTGCCTGAGGCTACAGGCAGCTAAGGCTACCGGTGGCTAAGCTGTAGGCAAGCAAGGCTACAGGTGGCCGAGCTATAGGTAGCCAAGGCTACAGACGTCCAAGCTACAGGCGGCCGAGGCTGCAGGCGGCAAAGGCTATAGGCAACCAGGGCTACACAGGTGGCCGAGGTACAGGCGGTTGGTGTTGGCCAAGGCTGTAGGCAGCCAGGCTACAGGCGGCCAAGGCTACCTACCAGCAGCCCACAGGCGGGTGGGCAAGGCTACTGGCAGCCAAGCTGTAGGTAACCAAGGCTACCAGAAGCCAAGGCTACAGGCGGTGGCCGAGCTGCAGGCAGCCAGGTCACGGGCATTGACCAAAGCTACCTGGTAGCCAAGGCTACCGGCAGCAAGGCTACAGGCATTGGCCAAGTTACAGGCGGCGGCCAAGGCTACTGGGAGCTGAGGCTACAGGTGGCCAAGGCCATGGGTGGTGGCCAAGCTACAGGTGGCCAAGGCTATGGGCGGCCAAGGCTACTGGCAGCCAGGGTTACTGGCAACCAACACTACCAGTGGTGGCCAAGGCTACAGGCGGCCAAGGCTCCAGGTGGCCAAGGCTCCAGGTGGCCAAGGCTACAGGCAGCGGCGAAACTATAGGTAGCCATGGCTACAGCCGGCCAAGCTATAGGGGGCCAAATTACAGGTGGTGGCCAAGGCTACTGGCAGCCAAAGCTACGGGCAGCCAAAGCTACTGTCGGCCAAGCTACAGGCAGCCAAACTACAGGTGGCGGCTGAGGCTACAGGCAGCCAAAGCTACAGGCAGCCAAAGCTACAGGCGGTGGCCAAGACTACCGGTGGCCAGCCGACAGGCAGCCGAGGCTATAGTTAGCCGAGGCTGGAGGCAGTGGCCAACCGACAGGCAGCCGAGGCAACAGGCAGCCAAACTACAGTCGGAGGGGCGGGAAGCGCCGCTCTCACCCCTCGCCCCCTCGGGAGGGCAACCCGGGGCTTAAAATAAAAAAAAAACAACAACCAGAACCAAACCCCAACCCCCCCTAAAAAAAAAAAAATCAAATCGCCGCGCTACCGGTTGTACGTCCGTGCGTTCCCGGCGGTGGACGGGGGTGTTAACCGGCGGTTCAACGGTGCGGTGTGGGGGGGGACGCCTGTTGCCGACCGGGGTTGTATTAACACTGTTTTATTGTCACTGCAGCCACCTTTCTGATGGCTTTTGCCACTGCTGGCTTGCAGCTGATCCTAGTGCTCCCCCTTCCAACACCTCAGTGTATGGTTGGTATAAGGGTTTGTATCTTGGTAAGACACGT